ACCGAGAAGAGGGGGCAAACATTCCCAAAAGATCTCATTGTCTCACACCTAATCGTCTTATTAAAGAGAAAGCTGTTGCAAACAATACCTTGGTATATAAACTGATGGTGCATGAGGAGAGATTTTTAAAAAGACAAATGTGTGTGTCTTGGAATATGCCGGAACCATTGTGGGTTAATTAAATTAGGGAAAATCATTTTTCTTGTTGGTTTGAGTATGGAAAGTGATGTCCTGAGTAGGATTCCTCCTCCGCACCTTCCAAAAACCGAATGCATCTTGTGAGCTCTCAGACCACTGGGATGGTTAAAAGGCTTTGTTTAAAATGGATTAGGGTGTTGGTGATTTAGCTGAGTGTGTGTTCAGAAAAAAAATGAGATGCATTCACGAGCGGCAGTGTGGTTCTGAGCTGGGGGGCCCAGGGACCTGCCTGGCGCGGCGCTGCCCCTAGCCTCTGGAGGAGCGGGGCAGCTAAGAGTTGGGGTGCCTGCTCGGTCCGGGCTCTGCGACTGAGGCAGGCAGCGAGCGGGCTCTTTCGGAACCGTCTGTACTTGGACATTGTGGAATGGGGATGTATTTGAAGCAAACGGGTGTTGGGTGGGTTTGACAACCCGAGCCACCCTTCCAAGCCGACTGCCAGGCTTGACATGCGGAGTCTGATTTTGGCACCGACCTTCGAAAGCATTTAATTCTCTGCGTGCCCTCCAGGCCCCGGTGAAGCCCCTGACATTGGAACGTGCCTGTGTCCCTGTCGCCAGTGTCCCGGTCTGAGGTCCAAAAGGGGGAAAGAGGACAGGGCTGCAGGACAGGGCCACTCTGAGGGAGGGTGGCTGCACCCTTTCGCTGAAGTTCATTGTGAACAGCTGCAGCCTGCAGAGGTAGCGCTGACCTCCGCGGCTCCTCAGTCTCTCTCGCCCGACTTGCAAGCCCTGATTTAAGCTGGGCGTCTGTCTGCTGGCTGCCTCCGGGAGCTGGCGTTGGCTTCCCGGGAGGCTGGGGCACCAGGACTCCCCGGCGAGGCGCCAGCGAGAGTCGTGGGTGTTCCCCGCGGGCATGCCAGGCTCGACCTTCCCTGGGGCCTGAGCTGGGCTTCCTTCTCTGTGGGGTGAGAACCCGCACCCCAGATGTTGCATTGCTCCGGAGGCGGCCCCGGAGGCGGCCCCAGCGGCAGTGCGGGGGGCCCTTGCCCTTGGCTGGCAGCCGCCAGAGCACTGTGTCTGCTCAGACCTCGGCAGCTCCTTTCCTCCGGCAACGCCCAATGAGGGGCTGATAGGGACCAGGGGATCCACACAGGACCTCTAGAGGCTAAAGACCCAGCCCTCCCCGACTGTTCCGAGCGAGTGGGGCTCTCCTCGGAGGGTGGCCATGGATCTCGAGGCGCCAAGACCTCAGATTCTGAAGTGGAGGGAAAATGCGCGAAGTGGGAGTCTTTTGTGTCCATACAGGAAGACTCTCATCTGCCGCTGGCCCTTTTACACCGCTCCGTAGACCCCTTTTTGCCTAGGTGGTAGCACCCTATTTGCTCCTTTGACTTCTTTTCACCTTGGCCGGGTGCTACACTGTGCAGCCCGCAGGAACACCCTGGGGAGGCAGCTTTTAATTTGTCCCAAAGAGCGACACAGCCCAGAGTCGCGTCGAATCAGGACTCCAATTCAGGGAGATCCTAGGAGCCCCCAGGTCCTCTCAGGCCCAGGGCTGCCACTCTCCCTCCTGGAGACAGGATGATGCAGATGCAAGCTACTCTTTGATTACAAAGGCGAACGTCTTGCTTAGGCAAACCTTTTAATTTTTCTCTGGGAAGAACTGTGCCAGGGAGAAAGTGGTCTTGGTACAAGTGTGGTTATCATCTCCTTTATGTTGCAATATTGATTTATTATTAATCGTAACTGCTCCACTGATCTAAAGATGATCGAAAACAGCTACTACTTTAAATACTCTAAGTAAAATAGGGGTTGGCCTTTAAAGCCACTGCCTTTTGATTCTGTTTGCATTATCTCCGCTTTAAGCTCTTAAGGACACTTCATTCTCCTCTACCCAGCTCATTCTCTTGAGTTTTTTCTATTTTGCTTGATTTTTAATAACAAAATTCACTAAAAAATTACCATCTCTGGGCCCTGAGGAACTGATCTGAAAGCCGAAATTTGAAAGAAAAAAATAGAATTTTGTAAAAATAGATTCAAAATTATATCTGATAAGCCCCTGTGAGTATCTGTTTCAAATCTAACCCAGTGTGGGGTGACTTTGAGCTCCAAGTCACAGGGAGCTGAAATAGAGAGGCCCCCAGGTCCAGGAGGCAGATTCTCTCTGTCCTGGCTTGCTGACAGCCTACCCGCTCCACAAGGAATTGCTTGTTTTTTAGCCTGGATGTTTTCTTCATGTATAAATAACGATTATGAAAGGGCATTTGATGGGCATAAAATTCCTGATTAGACTGAGCAGTCCTGCCTCTCTAGAGATAGGGAAAAGCAGGCAACTGAGTTCTAGGCAGCTCTCCTGGCCAAGATATAAAGAGACACAAATGCTGGAGCGCCAGGCTGGCGGCGTCAGGGCTCTCACCGCTAGTGAGTGCAGCGGGCACTTTGTCAAGCCCTGGGTACTGTTAGCTGTGGCTCAGAACAAGATCTCCACAACGTGAGAAAAGAAATTTGGGGGCACTGATTAGTGGCTGCTGGAGTTGAAGGGGATCTTAGCAACCTAGAGTCAAAAGTTGTGTGTGTGTTTTCCTGCCTTTTTCAACCCCCACCCTCAAACTCAAAAATAGCCACCCCAGTGGAAAGGTAATGTTTAAACCTCCAGCTAAGCTGGGGTGCTACAGCCTGAGCAGTTAGAGGCGCCAGGCTTTTAACCTGACAATGATGTTGTATTTGAACAGCTGCGTAAAGGTTTAAAAGGTCTGTCTCATTGCCACCGCGGAGTTTTTTTAAAAGGGGTTATTGTTTGGGCGAGGGCACTGAGAAGGGACAAGCAAATCGGTCCCAAGGCTGAAAATAGTATTCAGTGCCTGTTTTCACCAGGCCAGAGGAAATTCTTTCTGGGAAGTGGGCACAAAGGATTTGTTGGGAAATGTTTTTGTGAAGGAGCAGGCGGGCAATTAGGTTCCCCCAGAATGCTGAAGCGCTTTAATGAGTGTCAGACCCTAAGAAATGTTCTGCTGAGGCGGAAACCCCATTTACCCACAAGTTCAGTCTCTGGGCCTGAAATCCAAGGCCAGCCCATTCCTGGGTGAGTGTGGGGAGAAGAGCACAGATGCCTTGCTGGTCAGAGAACTGGTTCACGGTCATTTTCTGGGGCTGTTTTACCTTCTTGACTGCCAGGAAGGGTACGCAGAAGGCTAGAGAAAGGCTCCCTGGAACTGGCAGGGCCCCTTGCCCTGGGCAAGACTTTGGAAATCAAGGTTAAAGCTCCCTGCTGCTGTCCAGAGGCCGGGGCTTCCGCAGGGCAGCTCACCCGCCTGCAACCAGAGAAGGAGGGAGGAAGTTGTTCAAGTTTCTCATAAAACAGTCTCCATGGTGGTAGTGGCGGTGGTTGTTCTTTAATGAGCTGGACCACAATCCCACACCGTATCTTCTTTATAGAACTTTCCCTCGCCAGAAGAAGCTGAGGACTAAAAGTCACCCATCTCCTCCTTCTCTCACCCAAGCAAAACCTTATCAAATAATTTTAAGGATTGTCCAAAACTATAAAACTCAACTTGTGACAAAAGTATTGCTTTTAAAATTTGACGATTTGTGTTAAAACAAAAATTGACCTTCTTGGTTAGTAGTGATGGGGAAAAATCAATAGTATAATTTTCAATAATTCATAAAGTGAACGCCATTATGCTAAATCTTAACTATTAATCTTATCCTTTACAAAGTCTCAATTGATTTGTTAATAAAATATCTTCCCGTGTGTGGCAACAGTGGGTATAACTCTTTAAAAACCTTCAGAAGCAAGAAAATTACCAAGTAGCCCAAGAATGTAAATGAGAATTTTATTGATCGCCCTGATTCTTCTTAATATGTATTAATAAATTCCACAACCTTTTGTACCTCGCACTTGTCAGAAACCAATGCTTTTACAAAATCCATAAAAGGAAAACATATTTTTCTTCAAAGAACCAAATGACACCTTTGCATTTCTCTCCCGCCTGCCTGGCCCAGTCACTTTCCTAAAACTTCTAGAGTCTGAGGGTCAAGAGTTTTCCCCTTTGCTTTCAAAATTTTTCTTTCTCCCCCTCTTCCTTTTTGCCCTCTATCATCAGGGGGTGGGGAAGGAAATTTTGGTTTAGTCCTCCCGCTGAGAGTCCGAGGGCCGCTTTCGAGGATAGGGAACTGCTGGCGAAGGATCGTCTCCGGCCGAACGCTCCCAGCGCTGAGCCGGCCGAAAGCTCCCAGCACTGAGCCCGCGAAGGTCAGGGTGTGGTTGCTCTGAGAGCCGGGAGCTCCTGCAGATCACAGGGCGCGAGGGGCTCCGAGGAGGGGCGGCGGGGCTGGGAGAGGAGACCGCCGGGCCGGCCGGTCCTCTGGGCTGCGGGGCTGGCCAGCTGCGTGGCCTCTCTGCCCTCGCGGCCCCTTGCGCCTCCGCTTCGCTGGACACCTTGGCCGCGTCTTTGCGCGAAGGCTCTTCCCTTTGGAGCCCCCTTGAGCGTGGGATGTCTCAGGACCAGAGGAATCCGACTCACCTTCCCCGGCTTCCCAGTACTAAAATCACCAGCCCGCGCCCTCATTCCCTGCCCCGGACCCGGCCCTCTTGGGCGCGTTCTGCCTGGGTGTGTGCAGGGAAATACGTCTGTGTGTGCTGGCGCCACGGCGCTCTGGCTTCCCTCCCTGCGCGTGTCCTCCCGGACGCCCCTCCGACCAAGCCTTTCCTTCCGCCGGCGGGGCCCGTTGGCTAGGGCGGGGGGCGCGAGTGGGGCAGGCAGGCCGAGCGAGCCCCGGGAGGCGGGCGGGCGCGCGCGCCGGAGAGCTCTGGGCCGGTTGTCTCCAGCGCGCACTATCACCGGCGCGTAGTAGATGTCGCTGTTGTCCGTGCTTACGCGGACGGACGGCCGGGCTCTGGAGCACGTGACCTGCGAGGAGGCTGCGACTCAAGGCCATTTTCAAATCTCATTGGCTTGGTTGTCATGTGGTCGGCAGAGGCATCCACAATTACACGGGGAATGTTTTCCTAGAGATGTCAGCCTACAAAGGACACAATCTCTCTTCTTCAAATTCCTCCCCAAAATGTCCTTTCCCAACAGCTCTCCTGCTGCTAATACTTTTTTAGTAGATTCTTTGATCAGTGCCTGCAGGAGTGACAGTTTTTATTCGAGCAGCGCCAGCATGTACATGCCACCACCTAGCGCAGACATGGGGACCTATGGAATGCAAACCTGTGGACTGCTCCCGTCTCTGGCCAAAAGAGAAGTGAACCACCAAAATATGGGTATGAATGTGCATCCTTATATACCTCAAGTAGACAGTTGGACAGACCCGAACAGGTCTTGTCGAATAGAGCAACCTGTTACACAGCAAGTCCCCACTTGCTCCTTCACCACCAACATTAAAGAAGAATCCAATTGCTGCATGTATTCTGATAAGCGCAACAAACTCATTTCTGCCGAGGTCCCTTCGTACCAGAGGCTGGTCCCCGAGTCCTGTCCCGTTGAGAACCCCGAGGTTCCTGTCCCTGGATATTTTAGACTGAGTCAGACCTACGCCACCGGGAAAACCCAAGAGTACAATAACAGCCCCGAAGGCAGCTCCACAGTCATGCTCCAGCTCAACCCTCGTGGCGCGGCCAAGCCGCAGCTCTCGGCTGCCCAGCTACAGATGGAAAAGAAGATGAACGAGACCGCAAGCGGCCAGGAGCCCACCAAAGTCTCCCAGGTGGAGAGCCCGGAGGCCAAAGGCGGCCTTTCCGAAGAGAGAAGCTGCCTAGCTGAGGTCTCCGTATCCAGTCCTGAAGTGCAGGAGAAGGAAAGCAAAGGTCGGTAAGCGCAGAGTTGCCACCCCAGCGGGGCGCGCAGTCCGGGAACCGGCGGAGAGGGAGCGCTTGGGTGCCCAGCACAGAGCCCAGGCGGCTGAGACGGGTGCCCGACTTGGCAGGTGCTGCTTTGACCGGCTTTTTGAGGGGAGATCTAAGACTTGAGATGGTCCCCGCTTCTCTCCTGCTGCCCTGGCCATCCCGGCCCCCTCGCTGATGGCGCCTGGGAAAGAGGAAAGGCTTGCCGGGTTTATTTTTCCTGAACTAGACCTGAAATGCAACAAAAGAGGCAAAAGAGACCTGCGGCTCATTAACAGGGCCCAAGAGCCTCCTTTCTCCTGGTCAGATTTGCAGTCCTAGTTGTACCTGGCACCCAGTGATCATTTAAAGGTAGTCCAGGGCACCGTGTTTGTGTCACCCCGCATCCTGCGAGCTTGGGGAACGAGATGGTTGGGCCAGTTGGTGCTTGGGTGAGGGAAAAGGTCTTCCTGCCTCTGCAGGGCTAGGTAACCTTGGCTTTGTCTGGGGGAAATGCCGCAGGCTTTGCAATCATCTACTAAGAGGGCAAGGGCAGAAGGGGGAAGAATGCTTCTGGGTAGCCCACTTTGCAAGGCCACCCTTAGGGCTGCACTGAGGCAGAGAGTCAAGGATCTGGGTTTTTGAGAAGGAACCCTGTCCCCTGAGTCTCTCCCCCACCCCCAGAGGTGGGCCACCTTAGGGGTTACAGTGCTGGGGAATGCTTTTGTGTGGACACAGAAGACATGAGAATTCAGGAAATTCTGGTGGAATGCAACAATGCCCAGGCAGGGTGGAGAAGGTATCCTTGCTTCCTATTTATTTTTTGAGAGAGAATAGATTAATGTACTTACAAACCTGGCTGTTGGGCTCCCTGCTTGCCTAGGAGTGGTGGGAATCAGCAGCAGACTTGGGGACCTGAGGCTGCAGTGGGGTTGGTAGACTTGTCCAGGCAGTGGCTTCTTCCTCTCCCACCTTGTCATAAGGTAACCATTTAGAAGGTTATTGGGGAGATCCTAGAAAGTTTACCATTATACTTATGTTTTGTGCAAGTCAGAAAGTTCTGTGTGTATGGGTGTGACACAGAGAGGAGAGAAAGAGAGAGAGAGAGAGAGAGCCCTGATGAGTGCATCCTTCCATTCTGTCCCTTTTGGGCATTTCTAATTTAGTATCAATTGAAAAGCCCTTCCAGGGCCCACCTCTGTAATGTTTAATACCAGCATTGCCCAAAGTGGACTGCTTGCCACTAGGGTCATGGCCAAGGGTATATTTCAACAAACTGAGAGAAAAAAAATCTTGATTTTTTTCTTCTTCCTTTAATTTTGTTAGAGGAAATCAAGTCTGATACTCCAACCAGCAATTGGCTCACTGCAAAGAGTGGCAGAAAGAAGAGGTGCCCTTACACTAAGCACCAAACGCTGGAATTAGAGAAAGAGTTCTTGTTCAATATGTACCTCACCCGCGAGCGCCGCCTAGAGATCAGTAAGAGCGTTAACCTCACCGACAGGCAGGTCAAGATTTGGTTTCAAAACCGCCGAATGAAACTCAAGAAGATGAGCCGAGAGAACCGGATTCGAGAACTGACCGCCAACCTCACCTTTTCTTAGGTCCGAGGCCGGTGAGAGGCCAGGATCAGAGAGGGGGCACCGAGTTCCAGGGCCCAGTGCTGGAGGACTGGGAAGGCGGAAACAAAACCTTCATTGCTCTTTGTTTTTTGTTTTGTTTTGTTTTGTTTTCCTGTTAGAATGTGACTTTGGGGTTATTCTGTTCGTGCTGCAAGTGATCTGTAATCCCTATGAGTGTGTGTGTGTGTATATATATATATATATATATATATATATATATATAAAACTTAGCACGTGTAATTTATTATTTTTTCATCATAATGCAGGGTAACTATTACTGCGCATATTCATTTGGGTCTTAATTTATTAGAAATGTAGAGCATCCATCTAACCATCCATTCATACTTCCAGCAATGTGACTTTTTTCATGTTTTTCCTAATGCAAAAGTTCTCTGTGTGTGGTTAGTCCATGAACTCATGGCATTTTTTAATACATCCAGTACTTTTAAATTACACACACACACATATATATATATTTAAAAAATTAAGAAAACCCACAAGCTTTGGGGGGAGGGGGACTAAAAAAAGCACATTACAATGTATCTTTTCACAAACGAACTTAACAGTGGTCCTTGGTGAGATGGAATATTGACGACTTATGCCGTGTAGCCTTTCCCTTGTGGTGCATCTGTGGTTTGGTAGAAGTACAACAGCAACCTGTCCTTTCTGTGCATGTTCTGGTCGCATGTATAATGCAATAAACTCTGGAAATGAGTTTTCTCCCTCTGCTTTCTAAAACGGAAACATGTTTTGATGGAAATGAAAGCCTTTGAGGAGGTTCTCTTTGGGTTAAGCTGCCAATTTGGGGCAGTCGGTGACGGAGTGATAGAGGGCAAGAAAAGGAGCGGAGAGAAAAGCTGGAGGAGGCCTAGGATGATGCTGGAATTGGGCAGGGGTTGGGAGGAGAGGGATAATAATCCGGCCTGGGTGTGCAGTTCTCAGAACTAGTTAGAAGGGAGTTCCCTCTCCTCCTCCAGCCCCCAGTCACAGTGACTTGGACCCTCCATGGGTGTGAGCTTCTCTCTAGTTGGAGCCTGGTAAGTGAGCCTGTACCCAAAGCCACTTTTTCCTCTCAGCGCCCCATATGTGTGTTTTCTTCTCCTTGGTTTTAGTTATGTGATTTTTCATGCTTTCAGTGAGATCTCGGTGACTTCTGGCTGGGAAGCCATCGTCAGGGGCTAGGTTGAAACTAGTCTTGCCCACCTGGAAGCTGCCGGGCCTCCAATACAGCAGCAAGGATGAGCAGCAATGTAGCATTTGCACCAGATCCAATTCCCCCTCCCTTGCTCCTCCCCGCCCCTATTCCAAGTGCAAGACAGCCAGACCCCAGCAAGACCAAGGATGGGTGAGTTTTTCCCATCCCACTTTGCCTTGGTTTCCTTGTGGAGGGATTTTCTGTTGTCATTACCTTTTAGTGGCCCATACAAATTTTTTCAAATGAAAAGATTATCCCTAGCCAAACCTCCTACTATTTAATTACAAAATGAAGATGGCTGCTGCATCTGAGAGGCAAGAAAATGCAGAAAAGGTAGCTGAAAGAGAATTTGAGAGAGAACATGACTTCCTATGAAGTCCAATATTCCACTTACAGACATGGATTGGGAAATTCCCACCAACCTCTACAGAATCCCCACCAGAGAGCCCAGATTTATCTACTACTGCCCGGGAAAGGAAGGAGAAACTTTTCGGGTCTGGGGTTGGTGGTGCTGACAGAGGATTCGCTGCCCCAGGTCCTGCCTGCAGTTTCAAAGAGTCTCCCGTAGCTTCAAGGGGTTTCATAAAATAGGTTCTTTTCAGTGCCCCTACCCTTCCCTAAGAACCACTCATTAAGGCTCTCGAGCCTCAGAGCCTCATTCTAGGAGTCTTTGGGACAGTCAGTGGTCCCAAAGGGGTGCCAGTTTCTAGGGATGGGCGAGAGAGGCATCCGAATCAATGCTGGGCTGTGAACACTGGAATAGTTTTCCCCAGACTTACACTGGCTGGGCAAAAGAAGGAGGGTAATTTTTGCTGTTTTCTCCCAGCAATGTGGGGAGCACCATTAGTTGCTGAGAGGGGGCCTTGTCAAGAAGAGAAACCTGTGCTACAGGAAAGGGCAGTCCCTCTGCAACAAAATCAGAAAGCCTCTGGCAAAGGCAATCAATCAGGCCATAAGCAGCCATTTACCCCCTTTCTTTCCGGGGTTGGAGCTGGGCTGGGAGCCTTCCAAGGGTTCCGGGCAACTTGTAGAGCAAGGAATATGCCCTCACCGCCAGCGCCCGGGCTGCTTTTGTTTCGGCTCCCAGCCGGGCTTCAGAGGCTTTGTACCATGGATTTGGGAGTGACAATGGGCATTTCCTTCAGATTCAAGGCTGCCCACCCTTACCTCTGGAGACAAGAAAAAAAAAATTGGAAAGGGAGTGGCCCTAGGACCTGGCCATTCGGATTTTTTACACAGCTCGGGAATCCACGTGGAGGCCGCCAAGGCTCGAGGAGCGGTGGTCCCGAGGGTGGAGGCGCGGCCCCCTCAGGCCTCACTGAGGCAGGGCCAGGACGGCGGGCTAGCGGTGGCTAGCGGTGGGGTCCTTGCCTCTGTGACGTGTTCTTTTCCAAGGCCTCCCCAGCAGCCCGGAGAAGACTTGGTACCCCGGCCACTGTCTGCGCCCGCCTTGCGCACTAGACCGCCCGCCGGCCCTTCCAAGGGCAGACTTGGCCGCCACCGCCGCGCCCGGCTGGGCCTGGCCCGAGAACCAAGCCTCCCGGTCACCCTGGGGCCGCCGCATGTGCCCAGCCTCACGTCGAGGGTGTGTGGCTGCGCGGGCGTGTGTGAGTGTGTAGGGGGCGGGGGCCCTCCGAGCTGCTCCATCCGTCCGTTTTATTAGGGACACATTAATCTATAATCAAATACACCTCATAAAATTTTTATTGAAAGGCATAATATCATTACAGAGGTCTTCCACCTGTTTTAAACAACACAAGCTGCGAGAGAGCGTGTGAGGGTGTGTGTGGGGAGGGGTGGGTTTAGGAATAGGAGCGAGGAGAGGGGACCAGAGCTCCGCTTGGGCGCCAGGGGCCCGACCCTACCGCCGCCAGCGGCTCTGGGCGGCCCCTCCGGCTCCAAGCAGGCGTCCGGTGCGCCCTGGGCGCGCGGGCCGGAGCGCCGGAGCGGGGGAGCCGGAGCCGGGTCGAGACTACAGGAGCCGGGGCGGCAAGAGGAGACGAACAAATAGTCCCCAGCGCCTCCTGCGGCTGCCTTTGGGCCTGTGGTCCCAGGCACCGCCGGGCGGGCCGAGCCGAGCCGGGCCGGGCCAGGCCAAGCGGGCTCCTGGCCCTGGCCCTGCGGGCTCTAATTGCGGCGCTTATGTTGATGATTTTTTTTTTTTTTTAATCACAGCAGCCCCCAGTTTAGCGGACTGATTTACTCCCGGTATTGGTAAATATGATCACGTGGGCCGTGCGACCAATGGTGGAAGCTGCAGCCTGCGAACTAGTCGGCGGCTCGGGCGCCGGCGGGGAGCGGCTCGGCGGCGGGCAGTGTAACCTTGGGTGGGAGCGCGAGGCGCCTCAAAATGTCCTCCAGTGGCACCCTCAGTAACTACTACGTGGACTCGCTCATAGGCCATGAGGGCGACGAGGTTTTCGCCGCGCGCTTCGGGCCGCCGGGACCAGGCGCTCAGGGCCGGCCTGCAGGTGTGGCCGATGGCCCGGCCGCCGCCGCCGAGTTCACCTCGTGTAGTTTTGCCCCCAAATCGGCCGTGTTCTCCGCCTCGTGGTCCGCGGTGCCCGCCCAGCCCCCGGCGGCGGCGGCGATGAGCGGCCTTTACCACCCGTACGTGCCCCCGCCGCCCCTGGCTGCCGCCGCCTCCGAGCCCGGCCGCTACGTGCGCTCCTGGATGGAGCCGCTGCCCGGCTTCCCCGGTGGTGCGAGCGGCGGCGGCGGTGGAGGAGGAGGCGGTGGCCCGGGCCCCGGTCCCAGCCCCGGCCCCGGAGGCCCAGCCAACGGGCGCCACTATGGGATTAAGCCTGAAACCGGAGCGGCCCCGGCCCCCGCCGCAGCCTCCACCTCCTCCTCTACTTCCTCGTCCTCCTCCTCCAAACGGACTGAGTGCTCAGCGGCCCGGGAGTCCCAGGGGAGCGGCGGCACCGAGTTCTCGTGCAACTCGTTCCTGCGGGACAAGGCGACCGCGACGGCGGGGGGAACCGGGCCCCGGGCAGCGATCCGGGCCGGGCCTGGTGCAGGCGGCTCCTCGGAGCCCTCGGCTTGCAGCGATCACCCGAGCCCCGGCTGCCCGCTGAAGGAGGAGGAGAAGCAGCATCCGCAGGCTCCGCAGCAGCAACTTGACCCAAGTAAGTGCAAAAGAAATTGCCCCCTGATTTATTGCTGAAACCTGTAAGGCTCGAATGTGCAAAACTGATAGTTTTACTAACCTATAAAAACGTCTAGACGCCTACCCAAGCCTAGGCAAGTAACACGCATCCATAAAAAACCATCCCATAACCACCTACCCTGGGCGCGAGGTTTGTACGGTAAACAGAGCGCGGGCATTAAGGCTTTTTATGATAATTCCCCCTAAGTTGTGAAAAGCGGCCATCCTTAGTGAAATTAATTTAACGACCTCTCTTCCCCACCCTGTCCTCTTTCCCTGCTTCCCCTCCGCCCCCGCTCCCCTTCTGCAATCCCCCATCTTCGCAGACAACCCCGCAGCGAACTGGATCCACGCTCGTTCCACCCGGAAAAAGCGCTGTCCCTACACCAAATACCAGACGCTTGAGCTGGAGAAGGAATTTCTCTTCAACATGTACCTCACCCGGGACCGGCGCTACGAGGTGGCCAGGATTCTGAACCTCACAGAGAGACAGGTCAAAATATGGTTCCAGAACCGTAGGATGAAAATGAAAAAGATGAGCAAGGAGAAATGCCCAAAAGGAGACTGACCCAGCACAGTACCCACAGGAGCGCTCAGAGGCAGCCAGGAGTTTTTTTGTGGGTGCTTGATTTCCAGAAACTCTCCACCGACTCAGACTTTTTTTTCTTTATTAGGTAGAAGTGACTGTGTGGTTGGTCTCTGTGAGGTGTTTGGGGGACTCTGTATTTGCTCGCTTATGTGTTGAAGAAACCAAGTGGCTTCAGGGTTTTGCCTACCCCACTCCCTCCTTTCCTGCTCCATTGATTGCTTTGGAAATACTATATTTTGTGAGTGCACGCTGGTTTAAGGAGCCCTTCTGTGTAAATGTCTCCCCTGTTTCCAAAATGTGCTGTAGTTTAGTCCCCCACCCTTCAGCGCTGCCCCAGCAGGGCCAAGCAGAACCCCAATTCTGGGGAGACATTGTGGACACCCCTGCCACTTGCCCAGACAGAAGCCCAGCTGGGTGAGCCACCGGTTTCGAAAGCCCCCTTTCCTCAGGGATCCAGTGAGGCCTAGAGAGGAGCTTAGGGCCTCAGGTGGGTTGTGGTTTGTCCTGAGTGCGTTGGAGGAGTTGCTTTTTCCCCGGGGAGGGTTGGGATCTAGTGGGCAGCCTGATGGTGACCCTCCAGGTTCCTGTCCAAGGACCAGTTGTAAATGTTACCGCTTCCTACCAATAAATGCTGATCTGATCAAATGGAGCCCAGACCCTAGTCCTGAAGTTGTGTGCCTACTCTCTTCTTTCTGCAAAAAAATATCACCCTCCTGAGACTTCTCCCTTGTCCCTTGGCAGGGAGACATTGCTAAACATTCAGAACCCATCTACCTGGCAGGTAACCCAGCTTCCCTTTGTGTGGGCAGACCTGGCCTCAAGCACACCCCCTGGTGTGGGGGTCATGGTGCCTCCCGCATGTGGTACCAGGGCTGCAGTGAACTCTGCCCTGCTCAGAGTCAGCCTGGCAGTAGTGCACAGTGGAGCAGGTGGGCCCCAGGAACCAGGCATCCCCTTTTGCTTTGGCTTCAGCACACCACACCCCATGCCTTCCGGGGTTCACAGAGCCTCAGCTGCCAACTTCAGTCTCCAAACAAGGGAAAGGCCAACTCTGCGCTCTGGAGTAACTCTCCCACTCCATCTTGGTCTTGTCTCGGTCTCTGTCTCGGTCTTGGTCTCGGGGCTGGCTGGGTCCAGAGGTCCAGGATGGCTAGGCTGTGAGCTTCCACCCCTCCCCACAAGAGCCCCAAAGTGACCTAGTGATCAAATTGTCAAGGCACTCCTTCTGGTCTGGTCGGCCACCCTCAGCCTCTGCCCCTTTTCCCTCCACCCAGCTTCAGTGTATGTTTAGCCCCCAGCTTGGCCTTCTGAGGTCCACTTTCAGAGGCTAAAATGAAGGTCATTGTAAGCGAGGGTTCAGGCAGAGCACAGCCTTTGCAGGCCCTAGAGGAGGCAGTGGCGCCGGTTGGCCTGGGCTGGGCGGAAGGCGGGGGAGGTGGCAGAGATCTTGGGGATCCTGATGAAAGAGGGGATTCGAAGAAAAAGCAGAGGGGGGCTGGGAGGGAAAGCCAAGGCCCAGATCTGGCAGAAGGTGCTGAGTACACCCACCCCCTTCAGCTAGCCAGATACCTAGAGCTCTTTGAAAACAGGAAGAGCCAAGGTGTCATAAAGCTATCCAGCCGGCGAGACGTCTGGGGGTAATGAGTTTACAACAGCCCAGGCGCTTCGCTTTGAAACCATCTCATTTTGATGTTTGTGAGAGGAAAGGAAAAATGCAGACAAAACTGGGTCTTAAAATCTGGACAATAAAATTATAAACAAGACTGCATTGGACGATAAAGCCAGGGGCTTGGGAGCACAGGGTGAGGTGTGAACCCCTAGGAAATAAAGTGAGAAATAGGAAGGAGGCAATGTATTTGTAATTTTTTTTTCAAATTGGCTGAGCATTAGGTGTAGCCTATAGCGGTTGGTGGCTCCTTATATTTTTACTATGGCCACATATAGCTGGTTCTTTAACAAAACAACGCAACACAACAAAACACTCTGTTATTTGAAGTAAGGAAGTTACTGATGTTGGGCCATTTATTCAGGCTAAAGCCTCCCAGAAGTGGTAAGTGGGAAAAATGAAGCTGCGTTCCTTTTCACAAAAAAATATCTGGCACTCCAAATTTCACTACAAAAATACTGGAATTTATATCTATTCACTTACTGAATATGCAGTCATTAACACCTGAACTTGCAGAAAGCACTTTTGAAAATCAGAAAAAAAATTAAGCAAGCAGGAAATACCTAAGATGATTTGATAGTCTTTGCATTTAAAAAAAATTCAAGTACAATACTTAGTCAATTCAGTTCAGTCTGACTTTTCATATAAAGATTTAAAATATAATTTATTGTCTGTAGAAATTTGAATGGATGCAAACCCAATGGGTACTTTCCAGACAGACATTCAGAGATCAGAAAAAAAGTTTTTAATTTGGCTTCAATCCCTCCAAATTGCCCAGCTAAATGGACCTAAGACGTTAAAATTAAAAAGTTAAAATACCAAATATTTATAATTTGATGCCAAAAGATAACAGCTTTAAGAGAAAATATAACAATGTTTGACTTCTATAATTTCTTAGTTGTCAAAATGCCTGGCTCCTTTAAAAAAAAGCCTCTTGGCAATTGATAGTTTAAAAAGTTGTGATTTTTGTTAAATCTAGTTTGTCCTATAATTGTGCATAAAAGGTACAGCTGCACTATTACAAAATGGGAACCTACAGTGTCTGGCAAAAGATTGGAGCTTTTGGCAAAGAACTGAAATAACTGGGAGCTCTTGGGAACACAAATGAGAATATCCTTAGCATTCAGGATCCACCATTTGCTGTACTTGACTTGTTGACAATCAAAAAGATGAAGCATTATTAGTGTCAGCAGTCTAAGCCCCAGTCAAATTGAAGCACAAGATTAGAATTGGTTTGAGACGGAAAAAAAGGATGTTAAACTAGATCCGCTCGAGTTGGCATTCGGCCACTAGAGAGCGCTGTTGCTCCACTTTCTGATCTCATAAAGCTGGCGTTGTGGCTGAGGAAGGTTTTGATTAAAAATATTTACAATCTTATTTTTAATCCCAAATTAGGATAAATTTAACAAAAAATAAATAATGTGCACGATTAAATTCTCCAGCTATGTTTGTTAGGCATAAAATTTTGGCTCAGTCAGGATTTCAGAAAATTTGAACTATGGACACAGCTGAAATTATAAAATGTTATGGTAAATTAATGCATTCTATCAAAATCGAAACGTGTAAAGGCGTAGACCTTTATTCATGAAGTGAACCACGCTCTCTTTCTATTCAGATTATGAACAGAATCCTTAAGTAAATTTAAAAAGTGCTTTGTCCCAAGAGGAAATGTGTTGTAATGTTTTCTAAATTAGGCCTGAATGTGTAGAAGTGAATTTTGTAGTGCTGCTGTCCCCTCTGTGCCATCCTGCTACGTCCTCAAGAGTCAGTTCTAAAAAGTGCTTTGTGTCACTGAGATTCAAGAAGAAGAAAAAATTCTTCTATTTTTTCCCATTCTATTCCCAAACCCATTCATTTATCCAGGATTCCAACATGAACACACACACACACACACACACACACACACACACAGTGAAATAAAAAAGTACAACTACAAAGACAAGGCTTTATTTAAAATAATAACCTTTTAATTAGGTATTTACAAGATTGAAGTACAAATCCTTACTGTCAGAATCAGTTCCTTCTGTTTTGAATTTACAGGAAGCTACCTGCCAATGATAATTGGCAGTATTAAAAGCCAAAATTAGAAAAACAGCCTTGCCCTCCAACCACCCCTGTAACAAAAGTCTTCTGCGCTCTCAACTAGTTCAAAATTTCAATAAAGCATTCGGTTATTATCTCCAGGATCACTAACAATCCATTTACCTTTACCATTGCCATCCATTCTCTGTAGAAACAATATTTATTATCTTGCTATGCCTTTCAATCTCGACCTTCCTTATTTTTTCCATCTGTAAAAATGATATTCAGATCCAGACTAAATTCAGGATCATGCTCACACAGGCTAGGCCAACCAACACGGAATGTGGGGTAGTTGAAATCACTGGCCTGCGGAAATTTTGAGGTTGTTTGAGCATTTGAGGCCGTCTGGGATTTTTCAGAAATTTGCATTTGGCGTGGAGTGTTTTAGCTGGAGGATCCTCTCGGGCGCTGGGGTGACTTCGAGGTCTGTTCTCAACGCCAGTGGCCCTGGTGTCCTCAGGATACTGGATTATCTCAAAGGAAAAAGGGACTCAGTACCCAGAGAACGCAAAAAGAAGGTCGAGTAGGCGAGAAGGGGAAAGACCATACAAGGACAGCACAGACTCATTTATTGAACATAAAAAGGAGAGAAGAGGGGAAAAGAAACGTGTTGGGAGGCGGTTGGGTGGTGTAATCCCAACCATTTTAGAGCTGCTAAAATCAGGAAAATCCTGCGGATTCACGCTCTTGTCCACATCTCTTGCTCATCTATCACACTTTTTTCTTTTGTGGAAATTAGTAATTTAAAACTGAAGCCTTCACCCACCCTAGGCAGTCGCTGCGCGGGCTTGGCAGATGAACTGAAATCCTGGGCAAAGCGCGGGGCTGCCGGCAGCTGCCTGGAACCGGTGCGATCCGATCGCCGGCCGTCCCGGGGGTTCGAGGGGGACTCGCCGGTGCCGCCCCCGCTTCCACCCCGGGCCACAAACGGCCCAGGTCGGGGCGCCCTGCGTCCTCTCCAGGAAACGCCGCCACCCCGGCCTGCGTCCTTCTTCCCGCCCGGGAGAAAGTCTGCTGCTGTTCTATTTACTCGCTCAGCAATGTTAATGCCCCTTCCCACATTCTCCAGCCTCCCCCCTGCGCCTCCTACTGACGTCTATCAAGGGTGAAATGATGGAAACTATATTCATAGGCATGATTTCCATTAAATATCAATTAACCTAGGAGCCTCAGCCAGGCATGCAGTGCGTCAAGGGTAAATGTACATCTCATTTCCACAAGGCCCGCTCGGCTGGAAAAGGACTTTGATTCGATTTGATAAGGCCAGAATTTGGGGCCACGCCTGTGGCTTTTTCATCAACCCACTTAGGCCCCAAACACATGCACGGTCCTGTCGGTCGACCTGGCTTCTCCAAGTTCCCCGGCTGCGCCCCGCGTGTTCAGAAACGCTACGGCCAATCTGCGCTAAGCTGTTCCAGGGGCTGGGGGGGGGGGTCGTTTACTTCGAGGCCTCCTGGGAGTGGCCTCCCTGCCTCCCCCGGCCTAGGGTTCTGCCGCGCCCCTCTCCACAGGCCGCAGCCCGCGACCCCGACCCAGCAGCCCTTGGCAGTGCGGCTTTATGAGCCCCCTTTAAGGCCGGCGGAGGCATCTGCGGGTCGGAGTGAGGCGTCCCGTCGAAGAATCCCTCCGCGCGGTTATCTCGGCCTCATCTCGCTCCCTCTCCTCGCAGTGGCGGGGTGCGAAAATGTCCCGCCGGGGCGCACTGGGCGGCAGCCGCGGCGGGCACGGCGGGAGGGGGTCGCGGGGAGGGCAGGGTGAGAGGTCGCAGCGGGCAGAGGGAGGCGTTATTTTCACTTCCCTTCAGAGCGGGGGTTTGTAAACCGTAGCCACAGTGTCCCCCGTGGGCCGGCGCACTTTTTTTCTCGTCCCGGTGCGCTGGGGCCACCCGGTGCGTGAGAGGAAACAGTG